ACTCAGGCACAGAGTGTCCTGGAAGTCACTGCCTGTACAGAGCTTTTGGATAAGGGTCGTCATTATTGAGCTATTCCAGATGCTTAGTGACAGTGACAACATAGAACATAACATTTGTTGAGTTTTTTTTAACTCTGCCAGATCATGCAATTAATCATTTTAAGTTATTTAACATAAAAATTGCATTCTTACTGAATTGCAGGCATAATTACAGGCACTTGGCAAAATACTTTCATTAGAGCTTGTCTGGAGGCTAAATACCGACCTGCTAACTGCTTCTACCTGTTTAACAAATAGTGAATCCTGCCTTGTTACCTAGAAGTGCTCTGGTGCTTGAAATAAATGAACAAAACTGCCAACCAGTTAGGGAAACCATTACACTTGTTCAGTGCGAGACCTCATCTCAGATAAACTGGGTGACCTGTAACCCTAGCCACACATTAGGGGCATAGGTGGAATGTTACCTAGGGCAAAAAGCTGAGACCTTGTCTGAAGAAAAAAAAAACATCATAAAAGCTTGAGTTATGGCCTGATGGATAGGGCTTTTGTAAAGACAAGGACCTGAGTTCAATCTCTAGTATAAACAAATAGACAGACGCTAACTGCAGTAACAGATTTGAGTGCTGACTCTGTCACACCCTACAGTATAAATTGCTTTCATTTATTTAACAGATTTATTGGGAACCTCCTGTGTAAAATCTCAGGGTGCCAGTGAGCAAAACAGAATGTAGTACTCTATAAAAGTACTAAGCTCATAGTTCTCTTGTTTTGTTTTGTGCAGGTCCTGGGGCTTGAACTCCAGGCCTGGACATATCTTTGCTTTTTTTTTTTTTCTCAAAGCTAGTGCCCTGACTCAGGTTTGTCTGGCTGGGCTGGCTTTGAGCTTGGATCCTCAGAACTCAGCCTCCTGAGTAGCTGGTTACAGGCTCGAGCTCTTATTTTTGACAGTTCTGGGCCTTGACCTCAGGGGCTGGGCACTGTCTCTGGGAATGTTTTGGCTCAAGGCTAGCACTCTACGATTTATTTGAGCCATTTCTGGCTTTTGGGGTAATTAATTGGAGATAAATCTCATGGACTTTCCTGCCCAGGCTGGCTTCAAACTGCAATTCTCAGATCTTAGCCTCCTGAAAACCTAGGATTACAGATGTGAGGCACTAACACCTGGCTAGTATTTAGCTCACCTGAGCACTGGTGCCTCACACTTAGGATAATCCTAGCTACTTAGGAGGCTGAGATCTGAGGATTGCTGTTTGAAGCCAGCCTTGGCAGGAAAGTTGATGAGACTGTTCTCTCCAATTAACTACTAAAAACTTGGAGCTGCGACTCAAGCAGTAGAGTGCTAGCCTTAAGCAGAATAGCCCAGAGACAGTGTCCAGGCCCTGAGTTCAAGCTCCACTACTGGTGCACCAAAAAAACTGAGTTTATTAAAAGTACTGAGGCTCGTGCCTGTAATCCTGTCTACCAAGCAGGCTGAGATCTGAGGGCCTCAGTTCAAATCCAGCTGGGACAGGAAAGTCCATGAGACTCATCTTCAGTTAACTACCAGAAAACCACAAATGGCACCATGGCTCAAAGTGGTAGAGTGCTAGCTTTGAGCTCAAAGCTCAGGGACAGCACCCAGACCCTGAGTTCAAGCCTCAGAACAAACAAAGCAAAAGGATATTGAGGTACAAGATGGAAGTTGGTAACTGAAGGCTGTAGTCAAGAGGTTGCCACAAAAAACTTGGAGGGCTGGGAAGTTGGCTCAGTGGTACAGGGCTTGCCTCGCATGCATGAAGCCCTGGGTTCAATTCCTCACACCACGTAAGCAGAAAAGGCCGGAAGTGGCACTGTGACTCAAGTAGTAGGGCGCTAGCCTTGAGCTGCAGAGCTGAGGGACAGTGCCTTCCAGGCCCAGAGTTGAGCCCCCACGACCGACCAAAAAAAATAAAACTTGGTGAAGTTGGCTTCAAAGCTGACCTTATATCTCCCTTCTCTTTGCTTTCCACCCCACAGTCAGACTCAGTCACTTGCCCACTCGAAGTGGCACTGTTATGGAAGGTGGGTGAAGGCAGTGGGCATCCCGGTGTGATCCGTCTGCTTGACTGGTTTGAGACCTCAGAAGGCTTCATGCTGGTCCTTGAGAGACCTATGCCCGCCCAAGATCTCTTTGATTACATCACAGAGAAGGGTCCACTGGGTGAGAGCAAAAGCCGCAGCTTCTTTACCCAGGTAGTGGCAGCAGTCCAACACTGCCACGCCCGTGGAGTTGTCCATCGTGATATCAAAGATGAAAACATCCTGATAGACCTATGCAGGGGCTGTGTTAAACTCATCGATTTTGGTTCTGGTGCCCTGCTTCATGATGAACCCTATACTGACTTTGATGGTAAGACTTACTACCCAGATCTCAACAGGGGGAGGTGAATTGAATTGGAGGGTGTTATGAACAAATTTCTTTATTTCTAGTACTGGGCATTGTCAAGCCTTGATCTCTGGCTGTGTGCCTTAACCCTGTACTGGGCTGTTACTCTAGTGTGAGGATCCTTTTTTCTACTCTAGGTGGATTTTTATTTCCTAAGAGGATCTTAGCTGTTATTTTTTAGTGTTTCTATTATTTGGGGTGGAAGGATGACTACAAGTGTTCTTTTTTTCAGTGATGAGACTGCTGTTAATAGTGTAAGTGTAGCTTTCTGTATTAGAATGATGGAATCATCCATTAGGGTTCCATAATTTGAGCAGAGCAGGGGTTGGAAAAGGGGGCATCGCCATAGAAGGATCTAACTCTTGACTACTGGCTTCTGTGCAGGGACAAGGGTGTACAGCCCTCCAGAATGGATCTCTCGGCACCAGTACCATGCACTCCCAGCCACTGTCTGGTCACTGGGTGTCCTTCTCTATGACATGGTGTGTGGAGATATTCCCTTTGAGAGAGACCAGGAGATTCTGGAGGCTCAGCTTCAGTTTCCTGCCCATGTCTCCTCAGGTGAGGCCCTTACTGCTCCCACCCCAACCTTCCCAATCTTTCACCATTTGTTACTAATCGGTCCTGTGCTTCTTGACCCACAGACTGCTGTGCCCTAATCCGCCGGTGCCTGGCTCCTAAACCTTCTAACCGACCCTCACTGGAGGAGATCCTGCTGGACCCCTGGATGCAGGCACCAGCTGAGGAAGTGCCCGCCGATGCCCCTAAAGGAAGTCCTACTACTCCCTTGGCCTGGTCCCTGCTTCCCTAGGCCCAGTCAGGCCTCCCACTGGTTGGAATCCCATGGTCATGCCACAGGGATAGATGGACATCTGTTGACCTGGTTATACAGGTTGTTAAAAATCCAGTATTACTAAGGTCAGGGATAAGGGTTCAGGGGTCAGAAGATGAGCCAAATCTGCCCAGTTCCTATCCCAATCTTGTGAAGGAGCCTTCCTCCTAGAACCTGTGGCCCTTATTCTGGAGGGAGGAATTCCTTGCTTTGTGTTCTGTTCAGGATGTTTATTTGGAGTTTTTCCCCTTCTGAGCCCTAGGATTTGTTTTCCTTAAGTTGTAAACCCCTTCCCGTGCACTAGCACCTCCTGTAGTACCACCACACAAACTTAGATAAGACACTTAGTTCAAATGCTCTCACTTGGGCAAGGGTGCTTTCCTTAAAATATCTCAGCAGCTCTTTATTTTAGCAAGAGGGCCCTTTCCCCTAGCCAAGGGTCCCATATTCGGTCAAGCTGCTTGCCTATCTCATCCTAGAAGTGCTTATTCTGGGAGAGGTAATGAATGCCCTATTAATAACATCCCAGGGCTCTTTGTGTTTGTGCATTTGATTTTATTTTTGTTTGTTTTGGCGATTTTTTTTTTTTTTTTTTTTTTTTTTTGGTGAGGGGATCCTACTGTTACCCCAAGTGCTCTTACTCTGGTGAGAAGAAACCTGACTTCCATATTTTGGGAAGGAATGGGAAACAGATACCATCAGACATCACCAGAAACTAGGATAGGATGGATGGGGTTTTTTGGGGGGATGTGCTGGGGGAAATGTCTTGTTGTGTATTCTCCTGAGGTCCCCCCTCCCAACTTTGCTGCCTCCTACTGAGCCAGGATTGTCCAATTGCTAAAATGTAAATACTTGTGTACTGGAGGTAGGAGAGCTGCAAGTGTGCCCTCCTGTCACTTCTCCCTCTGCCTGGATTATTTAAAAAGCCATGTGTGGAATCCCACTATTTAATAAATAAAATTCACAAGTGACTGGCCGTTTGTAGAGACAGATATTTCTGAAACATTTATATTTTTTGTAAGCTGAACCTAGAGGGGAGAAATCCTGTTAAGTCCTTTTTCAGCATGCTAGGCGAGGTTGCACACATCTGTTACCTCAAGGCCTGAAGCAAGAACTGCAGAATTTAAAAAAAAAAAACAAAAACAAAACCCTCAGGCCCCTGAAATATCCTTTTAAACTTTCTTCACCTTTACTCATTTGTCCCTTCTGCTTTTGCCTCTCATTTTTCTTTTTCCTAGCCACAGTGGTCACTGGCTTTCTCACTTGTTAGCATTGAGATAGCCTTGTACCTATTATGTGCCCAGCAGCTTTAAAACATGTTTTTGCCTTTTCTCATATTTGTCCCTTTTCAGCTTTTCCCTCATGTTCCTATTTTCTAGTCATGGTGGTCTCTTGCTCTCACTTATACAGCTTCAAATGATATCCTTGTACCTGTGCTAGGTACCCAGCAGTTGCTCCACTCCCCTAAACATACAGGACACCTATAGCTACACACGTGTCTTTTAGGTCTTAGTACCTCCTAGGTCCTTGAGGGCGGGATCTGGTCGGGAGGGTTCGGAGGAACTTCAATCCAACCAGAGGAGGATCTAGGACTTGGTGATGCGGAAAGGGCGGCGTCATCTGGAGGCGGTGCCAATAAACAGCCGAGCGGAGGGAGCAGTCGGACCAATAAGCCCATGAGAAAATGGGCGGGTGGTATAGGAAGCCGGGTCTGAACCAGACAGACGATAGGTAGGGGTGGGTCTAGTAGCAAGAATGGGGCAGTGTAATTCTGCAAAGATGGCTAGGATTCTAGCCAGAACTTTCTAGTTCGCTTCATTCTAAAGGAATCGGGGAAGTCCTACGCCGCCATCTTAGGCTCCCGTCTTTGAGAAGCGGGAAAGGCAAGCCGCCCTCCTAAAAAGTCCCAGCAACTGGCCCGCCCCCCCCCCCCAAAAAAAAAACAGGCCCGGAAGCGGAAGTGATGGATACGGAAGTGGCCTGCTGTTGCCGAGGGGACGGGCCGGGCAGATGCCAACATGGCAGCGGTTGGGGTTGGTGGTTCCACCGCGGCGGCCGGGCCAGGGGCGGTCTCCGCGGGGACCTTGGAGCCAGGGACAGCGAACGCGGGTGAGACGTGCTGTTGCTGAGCAGTCGACGGGGGGCGGAGGTCGGGAGCCCTGAGGATCAAATTGCTTCCTCACTGAAGGAACAGGGAAGAGCATCCCCTGTGCACCGACCTATATGAGTGTGTAGCTGGGAGACACGGGGATGAGGGAGCGAGTGAGGGGCGGTAATAGACCGTTCTTAGGGTGGTTGTGAGCAGGGTCTTACCACATCTGGACAATAAAGACGATTTTGCATGTGAGGGAATTTTCCTCTTAGGAAAGGCTAAGACCACCGACACCATTCTCAGTATGTGTGAGTTCCTTATGGAAGGGAGAGACCATTCTGAGGGCGTGGAATTTCTTGTTTGTAGAAGGAGAGACTATTCAGAGGGTGGTGGCTCATTCCTTATAAATTGACAGGGTGGGGCAAGTTCTTCCTTATGTGACCAATGGGTCCATTTTGAGCACAAGGATGCCTTTCATTACATGAGGAGAATGTTCTGGGGAGGTTCTTAGTACAGGTAAAGTTCATTGTTTGTCGAGATGGAAGTGATTTCTTTCCTTATAGTTCAGTACATTCTGAGAGTGCCAGGTGCTTCCTTATAGCAGAGATCATGGTGAATGTGGGTAGAAGGAATTTTTCCTCGGCTGCGTTGAGAGGGTGTGGAGTGCTGGGAGGTTGGATCATGTGGAGGATGGACAAAGTATTTTCCTGGTGTGGCAGAGGGAACCAGACCATTTTCTGTGGGGTGACTGTTTCTTACTTAGGATTAAATCCTTGGGACAACGGGGAATACCATTGCGATGGGAGTGGACGTATCTTATTCAGTGATCCCATTCATTCCTTATATTAGAATATTATTCTTTTATGTGCATTGCCCCCTCATGAGTAGAAGTGTCATTTCTTATAAACTCTTATCTTGCCCTTACATAAAATGACAATCTTCATAGGTCCTTCAGAGATCAGATAGATGAATCCATTGAGATAGATAATCCATGTAAATCCTTTAGCCTGGTAGTGGGCACACAGTAAGCATTCAGTAAATGTTGAAAATGTAGTTGCTGGTATTCTGTCTGGGAAAGAGTTGCTTCTCAGAGGAGAGAAAGAGCACTGATCTGGGTATCCAGGCCCTATCCTATTCATTTCTTGACACAGCAAATTCTAGGTATGGGCTGGACATTATGGGTCCACTTCTCCCTATCTGACTTTCTGCCTCTGGTTCAGAGAGTGGAATCAGATAGGGCTAAGGCCCTCTTTGGGTCAGGGTGGCCTAGGAGAGGGAGGAAGTTGCTGTAACTATGAGGATCCTAGTTGGCAAAGGAGCAGTGATGGGATGACGGTGTACTATGACCCAGCAGCTTCTGACCTCATCTTTTTCCCTTGTCCCTTTCCATTTCCTACAGCTCACCGGCGCCTCAAGTACATATCCCTAGCCGTGCTGGTGGTCCAGAATGCCTCCCTCATCCTCAGCATCCGCTATGCCCGTACACTGCCTGGGGACCGCTTCTTTGCCACCACTGCTGTGGTCATGGCTGAAGTGCTCAAAGGTCTCACCTGCCTCCTGCTACTCTTCGCACAGAAGAGGGGTATGAGCCAGGGAGGGGGTTGGTGGGTGTGACTCCACAAGTACGTGTGTGTGCACAAATGGAGGGTTAGCAGGGGCATTATTCCAGTGTCTGTGAGGCTTTCTGGGGCATATGTAAAGTGCATCTGAACTTTTCCCTCCTGCCCCCAGCTGTGAGTAGCTGAGTCTCCTCTTGTATACCCCTTACACTGGGAGCAGCGGGACTGCGATATTCTGCCCATAAGGAAAGAAGTAGGGCACTCTTATGGTGATTGATTTAACTTTGATTATGGAGAATTCCAAATACACACAAAATTGGAGAGAATAGTAAAATTAAAACATCCGTGTACACATCCCCAGGTTTATAATTAATTGCTGATGGGCCCTCTGTCATGAAACTGCATTAATGATCATATTTATTGTATACCCTTCCTGTTTACTTGCTTTGCTGATGCTCTACCATTTGAGCCACACGTCCAGTTTGGATTTTTGCTGTTTTTTTTTTTTTTATGGAATCCCATGTACTTTTCTGCCAGAGCTAGCTTTGAACCAGATTCTGGATCTCAGCTACCTGAGTAGCTCCTCATTATTTTGAAGTAGACCTATTTTTTATTAGGGATTTAACTCAGGGCCTTGTGCTTACTTTATAATCTACTACTTGAGCCATGCCTCCAGCCTTCCCTGTTATTATCTTGAAGAAAAAATTTTGCCAGTACTGGGGACTGAACTCAGGGCATTGTGCACTCATTCAGCTTTTCTTTTTGCTATTGGCTAATGTTCTACCATGAGCCATGCATTCAGCGAGTATTTTGCTGAGTAATTAGAGATAGTCTTACAAATTTTTCTGCCCAGGCTGGCTTGAAACTTCAATCCTCAGATCTTAGCTTCCTGAATAGCTAGTGTAATACCAGCTATACCAGTATAGAAGTACCATCTTGGAGCTGGGAAGGTGGCTCAGTGGTAGAGTGCTTGCCTTGCATGCATGAGACCTTGAGTTTGATTCCTTAGCACCACATAAGCAGAAAAACTTGGAAGACATGCTGTGGCTCAAGTAGTAGAGCGCTAGCCTTGAGCGGAAGAGCTGAGGGACAGCGCCCGGGCCCAGAGTTCAGGCCCCACGACTGACCAAAAAAAAAAAGAGAAAGAAAAGTACCATCTATTCAAGAGGTTCAGGCAGGCAGAAAGATACATCCAGGAGTTCAAGACTAGTCTGGGCTGCATTATAAGATACTGCCTTGAAACAGAAAATTCCACATGTTAGCATGGGTCTATAATTTGAAGCCAGCCCAGACAAAAGTGCAAGACCCTGGGCTGGGAAAGTGGCTCAGTGGTAGAGCGCTTGCCTTACATGCCTGAGGCACTGGGTTCAATTCCCCAGCACCACATAAGCAAAAAGAAAAAAGCCGGAAGTGGCACTGTGGCTCAAGTGGTAGAGCGCTAGCCTTGAGCTGAAGAGCTGAGGGACAGCGCCCAAGCCCAGAGTTCAGGCCCCACAATCGGACCCAAAAATAAAAAATAAAAAAAAGTGCAAGGCCCTATCAAAACAAACTAAAGAGGGCTGGGAATGTGGCTTAGAGGTAGAGTGTTTCCTAGCAAGCATGAAGCCTTGGGTTCAATTACTCAGCAACACATAAACAAAAAAAGTGGGATGTGACGCTGTGGCTCAAGTGGTAGAATGCTAGCCTTGAACACAGAGAGGCTCAGGGACAGAGCCCATGCCCTGAGTTCAAGCCCCAGGACCAGCAAAATAAAACAAAACACCTAAACACCTGGGCACCAAAGGCTCACACCTGTAATCCTGGGTACTTAGGAGGTGGAGAGATTTGAGGATCACAGTTTGAAGCCAACCTTGGCAGGAAAAGTCTGTGAGACTTCTTTTTTTGGGGGTGGAGGGGTCTGGTCGTGGGGCCTGAACTCTGGGCCTGGGCACATGGCTAGCGCTCTACCACTTGAACCACAGAGCTACTTCTGGCTTTTTCTGCTTATGTGGTGCTGAGGAATATTATTTTGTTGATCCTAGGGCTTGAACTCAGGACCTGGGCACTGTTGCTAAGCTTTTTGATTCAAGTCTAGTGCTCTACCACTTAAGACACAGTTGACTTCCAGCTTTTTTGGTGGTTAATTGGAGATAAAATCTCATCGACTTTCTGCTCAGGTTGGCTTCAAGTCACAATCCTCAGATCTCAGCCTCCAGAATAGCTAGGATTACAGGGGTGAGTAACCAGCATCCAGATGTGAGACTTTTTTTTTTTTGGGGGGGGGGTCCGGTCATGGGGTCTGAACTCTGGGCCTGGGCGCTGTCCCTCAGCTCTTCAGCTCAAGGCTCTACCACTTGAGCCACAGCGCCACTTCCGGCTTTTTTCTTTTTGCTTATGTGGTGCTGAGGAATCGAACCCAGGGCCTCATGCATGCAAGGCAAGCGCTCTACCACTGAGCCACCTTCCCAGCCCCACAAAAAATATTTTTTAAGATGAACTATAAGCCAGGCAGAAGTGGCTCATACCTATAATCATTGCTACTCAAGAGGCTGAGAATTGGTGATTAGCATTCCAAGCCAGCCCAGGCAAAGGAGACTTTCTTTTGGTACTGATACTGGGGCTTGAACTAGGCCTAGGCCTGGGTGCTATCCCTCAGCTATTTTACTCAAAACTGATGTGCTCAGGCTGGGAAAGTGGCTCAGTGGTAGAGTGTTTGCCTTGCATGCATGAGGCCCTGGGTTCAATTCCTCAAGTGGTAGAGTGCTAGCCTTGAGCTGAAGAGCTGAGGGACAGCATCCAGGCCCAGAGGTCAGGCCCCCTGACCGACCAAAAAAAAAACAAAACTGATATGCTACCACTGGAGCCACACTTCCACTTCCGCTTTTTGGTAGTTAATTAGTAAAGTTTGCCTACGCTGCCTTTGAACTGGAATCCTCAGATTTCATCCTCCTGAGTAGCTAGGATTACGGATGAGCTACAGATGCCCAGCTTCTCCGACTAATCAGCAAAAAAGCCAAAACTGGCCAGGTGCCATTGGCCAGGTGCCATTGGAGCTGTGGCTCAAGTGGTAGAGCACTAGCCTTGAGCAAAAGAGCTCAGGGAGTGTCTAGGCCAGAATTCAAGTCTGAGGATTGGGATATGTACACGTGTGCACGCACGCACAAACACACACACACACACAGAACTGGATGTATGGCTCAAATGTTAGAGTGACACCCATGAACAAATAAAAGCTGAAAGTATGAAACTCTTGAGTTCAAGTTCTAGTACCAGCACCAAGGGGAAGGGGATGAGATACACTATAAAAAAGCAGCTGTAGGACTGAGGGTATAGATTAATGGTAGAACACTTGTCTAGTGTAGGAAAAGCCCTGAGTTCCATCCCAGCACCAAAATAAAGTGTAAAACCTTTGTTTAGAAGATGGCTTTCTACCCAAACTCAAAGGCTTCTACTTCATAAGCTCTCAGTGAGTGAAATTACCTCATTGTATTAATGTGTCCAGTGTCTGCTCTGTACTGTGCTTCATGTCTGGGAGGTAAGATGTTAGATGGGGAAATGTGATGGATGGTTATTTTGCGGCCATTTTATTTTCTTGCCATGCTAGGGATAAAAGTTAAGGCTTCTCACACTTCCTGGGAAGACTAAACTACCACTGAGCTCAAGGTCTAAGTGTTAAACTCAGTGGTAGTTTACATTCTTAGTATGTAAGAAGCACTAGATTCCATCACTGAAAAACAACAAAAACCTCATTCTAGTCCCTAGGGAATGATTAGTTAGGGGAAGGGATTACGGATAAGGACAGGATACAAAGGTGGATGTAGGAGCTAGGCCTGGTCCCTGCCTTCAGTGGATCCCCTCTTTTGGTAGTCATGCTAAAAGGTCTCTCTTCCTACCTAGGTAACGTGAAGCATCTGGTTCTTTTCCTCCATGAGGCTGTCCTTGTGCAGTATGTGGACACACTCAAGCTTGCAGTGCCCTCTCTCATCTATACCTTGCAGAATAACCTCCAGTATGTTGCCATCTCTAACCTACCAGCTGCCACTTTCCAGGTGAGTCTCCAGCACAGCCTGGCCTCGGGAGAATTGGCTGGGTTAGTGGCCTAGGAAGGGTGGGGAACGAGGTTAGACTGCTGAGAGCAGGAGTTATGTCACTTTCAGAATGTCCTTGCAACTTCCCTCTAACCTCAGTTTCCTCCTTGAGAATCAGGAAATAGAATAGAAACACCTGCACAACAGGATGCTGGATTGATTGAAAGAAACACCAGGAGCCGGCGCTTGTGGCTCATGCCTAATGCCTATAATCCTAGCTACTCAGGAGGCTGAGATCTGAAGACTGAGGTGCAAAGCCAACCCAGGCAGGAAAGTCTGTGAGATGCTTATCTCCAGTTAACTACCAGAAAACCAGAAGTGGTACTGTGGCTCAAAGTGGTAGGGTACCAGCCCTGGGCAAAAAAGTTCAGGGATGATGCCCAGGCCCTGAGTTAAAGCCCTATAACCAACAAAAGAATCACTGAGGCCCAGTTATATTACATACCCCTGTAATCCCAACACTCAGGATGCTGAAGCTGGAGTTTAGAGAGTTGGAGGCAGGGGCTGGGAAGGTGGCTCAGTGGTAGACTGCTTGCCTTGCATGCATGAGGCCCTCGGTTCGATTCCTCAGCACCACATAAGCAGAAAAAGCCAGAAGTGGGGCTGAGGCTCAAGTGGTAGAGCACTAGTCTACAGCTGAAGAGCTGAGGGACAGTGCCCAGTCCCAGAGTTCAGGCCTCACGACCAACAAAAAAAAAAAAAAGAAAAGAAAAAAAATAGAGAGTTGGAGGCCAAAATGGGATACATAGTGTGAGATCTGGTCTCAAATAAAAGGGGGCTGAAAATGTGGCTTAGTGGTAGAGTGCTTGCCTAGCATGCATGAAGCCCTGGGTTCAATTCCTTCGTACAATATAAACAGAAAAGGCCAGAAATGGCACTGTGGCTCAAGTGGTAGAGTACTAGCTTTGAGAAAAAGAAGCTCAGGGACAATGCCCAGGTCCTGAGTTTAAGCCCCAGGACTGGCACAAAAAAAGATAAGTTTTAGCCCTTCTGGCTATTCCTGGGCAGCCAATAATTATGTTGCAGTCAGCTGTCAGATTTCCTGGGTATTTAATAGCAGCTCTGGACCTGGTGCTAATGGTTTATATCTGTAATCCTAGCTGCTCAGGAGGCTGAGGTTCAGAGGCAGCATGGGTGGACAGATTAGCTTTTTTGGCTCATGACTGGCTCTCTACCACTTGAGCCCACAGCTCCACTTCTGGCTTTTTGGTGGTTAATTGAAGGGATAAGAATCTCACGGACCGCCGGGCGCTGGTAGCTCATGCCTGTAATCCTAGCTACTCAGGAGGCTGAGATCTGAGGATCGCGGTTCAAAGCCAGCCTGGGCAGGAGAGACCATGAGACTCCTATCTCCAATAAACCACCAGAAAACCGGAAGTGGCGCTGTAGCTCAAGTGGTAGAGCGCTCGCCTTGAGCTGAAGAGCTGAGGGACAGCGCTCAGGCCCAGAGTTCAAGCCCCACGACCGACAAAAAAAAAAAAAAAATCTCACGGACCTTCCTGCCCAGCAGAGATAATGCCAGGACTCAGATAGGGCTAGAGCTTTGGCCTGAGTTACTCAGCTAAGATGTGGACCTGGGATGTGGCTTGGGATTTCCTGGCATAAACTCCCTTTTGTGTACTCTGCTGTAGGGTCTTTAAGGACTGCTTAGCTTAGCCACAGTTTAGCTAGTAGCCAGTGGCTGACTTTTTGTGGTTTTTGTTGTCACCTACCATGCCTAATATGTCTTGTGCCTGAGGGCCCACAGAAGATGCTATCCCCCATGTGCAGCTCTTGGGGGTCAGGATCAGCCCTGAGTGCCTTCCTCATGCCACTCACAGGTGACATACCAGCTGAAGATCTTGACCACCGCTCTGTTCTCCGTGCTCATGCTGAATCGCAGCCTCTCGAGGCTGCAGTGGGCCTCCCTGCTGCTTCTCTTCACTGGTGTCGCCATTGTCCAGGCACAGCAAGCTGGTGGGGGCGGCCCACGGCCACTGGATCAGAACCCTGGAGCAGGCCTAGCAGCTGTTGTTGCCTCCTGTCTCTCCTCGGGCTTTGCAGGTGTTTACTTTGAGAAGATCCTCAAAGGCAGCTCAGGTTCTGTGTGGCTGCGCAACCTGCAGCTGGGCCTCTTCGGCACAGCCCTAGGCCTAGTTGGGCTCTGGTGGGCTGAGGGCACTGCTGTGGCTCACCGCGGCTTCTTCTTTGGGTACACACCTGCAGTCTGGGGTGTGGTACTAAATCAAGCCTTTGGTGGGCTGCTGGTGGCTGTTGTTGTCAAGTATGCTGACAACATCCTCAAGGGCTTTGCCACCTCCCTTTCTATTGTGCTGTCCACTGTTGCCTCCATTCGCCTCTTTGGCTTCCACCTGGACCCATTATTTGCTCTTGGCGCTGGGCTCGTCATTGGTGCCGTCTACCTCTACAGCCTTCCCCGAGGTGCAGTCAAAGCCATAGCTTCCGCTTCCACCTCTGCTACCACCCCTGGGCCCTCCATTCACCAGCAGCCTCCAGGGCAGCCACCACCACCACAGCTATCTTCACATCGAGGGGACCTCATCACGGAGCCCTTTCTGCCAAAGTCAGTGCTGGTGAAGTGAGGGCTGGTGGCGGTTGGGGGAGACAGGGAGGCGGGGGACTAGGGTGGAGGGTGTTGGGCATCTGCAGGACCCAAGTTGTCGCCAAGGCCTTGATCCTCTTGGGTTGGCAGATGATCTGTTTCTCCCAGGTCACTGAGACTTCTGGAGGGGCATGGAACTAGGGCCAGATGTCACATGAATCCTTCCTGGTATACTCGCTCCCTTCCCCTGAAGGGGGTTTTTAGAGCTGCTTTCTCTGCCCCAGGCTAGCCTCTTTGGGGACAGGGTTTTGGGTATTGCCATTCAAGGCCTTGGTTTTGTCTGCCCCATCACCCTCTGCTGAAGGTGTCCTGTCTTTTATCTCAGTCCATCCTGAAGCCGGCCATCCCTCTACTTTTGTAAGGGCAGACTGGACAAAAGTCAGAAGTCCTGCAGCTCTTCAATAATGATTAATGCCTACATGCAGGGTTCTGTTTCCCATTGTCTGAGGCCTTCTCTCCTCCCTCACCACCCTGGATCATGACAGCAGCTTGGTCTCATGTGACCTTGGGCAGCTTCCCTGGCACTGAGACCCTTGAAGATGTCCTGTTGCAAGTGTCCAGGGTGAGGAAGAGGCACAAGCTCTGAAAGTTGTGCTTCAGCCCATTTGAAGAAGGATGTGGTAGGGGCTGGGTTTGTTTTTGTTTTTCGTTTTCTTTTTAGTGGTTGGAGGGTTCCTAGTATTAAGCAGATCATTAATGATCCAGAATGTGGGAGAGCAGGGAGGAGAGTCCTGCAAGTGGCTTCAGTTTCATTGAACTGAAAACACTGGCACTTGTCAGATGCAGGGCTCTTTTTGGAGCTATCCAGAGAGAGAAATAAAGCTGCCAGTCCTGCTCTTGCTACCATATTGGCTTTATGAGGCATCCTTACTTCATGGTGGGGGAGGTGGTCTCAGAAGTGAATCATGGAACCTGTGCCCTGCACTCCCCAAAGCTTATTAACCCCTTAACTATCCCAGGGGTGTGTGTGTGTGTGTACGTGTGCGCACGCGCGCGCATGCATGTGTGCCCACCCGAGTGTGTGTACGTGAGTGTGTGTACGTGAGTGTGTGTGCACGTGCGTGCACACGCGCACATGCGTGAGTGTGTGAGAAAGCTGCTTAGGCTGTCTTTGCTATATGTAAATAGGGCCATTGGATCTTTATTTTTGATTAATTTGTTCTGATTTTTTTGGGTTTGTTTTCTAAGGAACTGTAATGAACAAATGTCAGGATTACCCAATGCCAAATAAAGATGTTGTATTTATTTAGTCCACGTGTAGCTTTCTGACCCAAGGGCCCATTCTCCTTACATAGACACCATTACTAACCCTAGGACTGACAACCAGCCTTACTACCACAGCCCTCGCTTGCTCAGAAAAATCCACCTTCCAGCACAGCCCAGCTTTCTATGTTTCTCTTTCCTTCCCATTTCCACCACAGGTTGCTCACCAAGGTGAAGGGTTCGTAGCCACCGGGATTGAAGACGTTGGCCTGGCCTCACTCTCCCTTCTTGCCCCCCGGCTCAGCTGGGAAACAAACTCTGATCAGTATTAGGGGTACTGCCCCCATGCAGGGTTATCACGACTAAGCTCTCTGTTAATGACCCATTTCAGTTACTGCTGCCCTCCATAGTATTTTTTAGGTGAATTTCTGCAAATAAAATTTGTGTTTTTGCATCTTGCCAGCTTGGGTTGGAAGACCTGGAAAGAGTAAGTAAAAGGAAGCAGTCAAGCTTTGTGGATGTGATCCACAGAAAAGAATTTATTGAATGAAGCTCAGTGGTGGTAGAGATTTAGTTAGCACACACAGAGGCCCTGGGTTCAATCCCCAGTACCACCACAAGAAAAAGAAAAAAAAAGGAAAGAAAGAAGGAAAACTGCCAGGGCCGTGGAGAGCAAAGCTTCAATCCTGCTGTTTGGTTCGGGAGGCCTCAGCATTGGCCCGGAGCACAGCCCCTGGGGATGGGTATGGACGCTGCTGGAAGAGGGGCCCAGCTGCTGTTGTATCAGCTCCTGTCTTGGCCTCGTTCCGCTTGGGGAGTCCTGTTGACCATGTACCCCTGGGGATGACAGAGTGGGGAGGGGCAGGAAGAAGGGTGAGTTGAACACACACAGACATCCTTCCCCCACCCCAACTGACCTAGAATGAAAAATGGAGGAAGGAGAGACTAGGAAGATGGTGTGCACAGTTGCCATGGGAATCATGAGGTTGTCATCTTACCGGGGTGCATCTGAATACGAGCTGGGGTCCATAGGGTCTAACTCTTCATCCTTTCGGCTGGTCACTATAGAAGTAAATGGCTACATAAGTTCACTCAAGACACAAAAGGCTCCTGATCAGTGTGCCCCTCATCCCAGGAAGAAATGGAGCCCACACTTCTATGAATAGCTTTCTGTAGGAGCCCAGTTCCAGGAACAGCCCAGGAGGGGCTTCCTTATACAAGTACATCCTGACACCTTGCTTGCCTTAACCTGAGTCCCTGTCTCTTCTCTTACCCTTTTTGTTTTTGGGGTAGGGAGCCAGCTCCTCCCGTCGATGGTGACGACGTTCTTTGCCCTCTTCCCGGTCTGCTTTGTCATACCCACGGTCCCGTTCCCGTTCCCGTTCCCTGTCCCGCTCTCTTTCTCTCTCCACTTTGTCATAGTTACGCTCTCGCTCTCTATCAGATTTCTCATGGTTCCGCTCTGACTTCTCCACTCTGTCTGGTTTCTCATGATTCCTATCCGGCTTCTCATGGTTCCTATCCGGCTTTTCATGGTTCCGGTCCACCTTCTCTTCAGCATCTAGGGGGACATAGAAGTTCTGAAGTAGCTGGGCACCGATGGGTAGCTCATACCTGTAATCCATTCTAGCTACTCAGGAGGTTTGAGATCTGTGGATCACAGTTCAAAGCCAGCCTGGGCAGGAAAGTCTGAGACTCATCTCCAATGAAACACACAAGAAAAAAGCCAGAAGTGGAGCTGGGGAAAGCACCAAGGTGTGTATGTGTGTGCCAGTCCTGGGGCTTGAACTCAGGGCCTGGGTACTGTCCCTGAGCTTCTCTTTGCTCAAGGCTAGCACTCTGCCACTTGAACCACAGCACCATTTCTGGCCTTTTCTGTTTATGTGGTACAGAGGAATCGAACCCCAGGCTGTATGCATGCTAGACAAGCACTCTACCACTGAGCCACATTCCCAGCCACACACACTTTTAAGTAACCTCCTCCCACCCATCCCCAGCAGCCCATGCTTTCAAAAACCTCAATTGCTTAGGGCTGAGCCTGCCTGGTTTCATCTGCCCCTTGCTCCTCCACTCATTTCGTGGCCCCTCTCTGAGAACTACTAGAATTGCCCAAAATCACCCAAAGTGTTATCTGCCAACTCACCTGCATTATTATTCTTAGGCTTCTTGACAGATTTGGTAACGATGGAGTTGGGGTCATGGGGAGAGAGCCAAGATACAAGGTCTGTGTCTGCATTCCAATAGTAAGGGAGCCCACTGTGGGGCATGGGAAGGAAAGAATATTAGCACAGATGTCCTTCCATTGGATCAACCATTGTGTCCCCGTCTGTACCTTAGATCGCTTCCTCTCTGTCACCCATATACCCCACAGCCAGAGACAACAAAGGGAAAGGGCAATATCAGAAGTCAGCTGTCCCCCTTCAGGAACCTAGGCTCACCAAGAAGGGTCGAACACCTTGTACCAACTTGGTGGCAGACTTTCTAATCGGGTGGCCTCATAGTCCACAGGATCATCGTCGTAGTCCTCTGCAATGATCTCTTCCTCGGGCTCTGGCAGAACAAGGAGGCAAACAATTCAGGACTAGTAGTACTCATCCTAGAGTTGGAGCCTGGAGAGAGATATCTATAGACACTTCTGTCTCCACAAGCCGCATGTAGAAGATACAAGTGTATGTATATATACTATGTGTATATGTATGCATACACATAGTTACACATACAAACGTGTGTATGCTAGGAAATGTATTTCTCACATTCCAAATTCATCTACTTTAGGATACTGACCAGAAAATTTACCTAGATCTTTTGTTTCTAGGCTAAGGTAGTAAGTTCATACAGTTACATAAACCTATCTGGTTTCAGAACTGATAAGGATTCATCAAAAACATTTACCTAGCCAGCTGTTAGTGGCTCATGCCTGTAATTGTAATCCTAGTTACTTGAGAGGCTGAGATCTGAGGATCCACATTCAAAGCCAGCCTGGACAGCTTCACTTCTGGCTTTTTTTTTTTTTTGCAGTCATGGGGCCTAAACTCTGGGCCTGGGTGCTGTCCCTCAGCTCTTCAGCTCAAGGCTAGTGCTCTATCAATTGAGCCACAGCGCCACTTCTGGCCTTTTCTGCTTATGTGGTGCTGAGGAATCAAACCCAGGGCCTCAGGCTGGAAAGGTGGCTCAGTAGTAGAGTGCTTGCCTTGCATGCATGAGGCCCTGGGTTCAATTCCTCAGCACCACATAAGCCAAAAAAGCCAGAAGTGGGGCTGTGGCTCAAGTGGTAGAGCACTAGCCTTGAGCTGAAGAGCTGAGGGACAGTGCTCAGGCCCAGAGTTCAAGCCCCACGACCCATACACAAAAAAAAAGTCTCATGGACTTTTGGCCTGGACTAAGTACTATGAAGCCACTTCTTTGGATTGAGTCATTATTTAAGATTTTTTTTTGTCTCTTTGTTTTGCCAGTCCGGGGATCTGAACTAAGGGCCTAGGCACTGTCCCTGAAATTTTGCTCAAGGCTAGCACTCTACCACTTGAGCTATAGTGCCACTTCCGGCTTTTTCTGTTTATGTGGTACTAAGGAATTGAACCCAGGGCTTCAAGCATGCTAGGCAAGCACTCTACCACTAAGCCACATTCCCAGCCCAGGTTTGTGGGTTTTTTTTTCATTAGTGGGGTTTGAGGTCTTACCACTATGCAGATGCTCTACCACTTGAACCATGCCCCTAACTTTTTGCTTTGGTTATTTTTTTGAAAAGGGGCTCACATTTATGTCCCAAATGACCTGGACCATAATCCTCCAATGTCCACTTTCTGAATAAGCTGGGATTACTGACATGAATCATTGTGTTCAGCTTTATTCATGGGTTGAACTCATCATCAGATATCAGTATTGCTAAGGATGAAGTATCTATCCTTCAACCACTCACCATACAATACAGTTTACAATACAGTCCAAATGGAAGTGGAGATGTGGCTCAAGTGGTAGATAGCAGGAAGTCATATTAACAATGAGATGTCAGCCAGGCCATGCTAGTGTCAAGTGTCAGTATCACCAAAAAAGTGCCTGTCAAAACTGGCATGTCGGGGTTGGAGGTATGGTTCAGGTCGAAAAGGGCCAGCTAATGAGTGAGAGGAAATGTCAGATACAAAGCTCGAGTCCTGGTTTGGGGGAAGGGGGGGACTAGCATGTGGTAGACTCATCTGTTCTTAGCTTCTCACCCGGTTCCAGATGTTTGAGGATGCCTCTCTTGGCTAATCGAGTCTGCAACGCAACAGGCAACGGCATAGCTGACAAACCTGGAGGTGACAGGACAGATTGACAAACAGCTCAGATGAAGATTCTAATCTGAATCTGGAGTCACGCACCTTCTAGTAGCAAGTATTCACCTGTTCGCCATTTACCGAACTACATTAGTAGCTAGCAGGGTGAACAGAACGAAGCTACGCAGAAGAGAGACTGCAGGAACAGCGACACTTACCACAGCTCACTAGGCCGGACACTCGGAAGTCAGTTCCTCAACCAGGCCCAAGCTCCAAGCTCCTCCCACCGCCGAAGAAACTACACGCAGCAACCTCCCCCAAAGCAAAAATGGGTTCACCCAACGTCTCCTAAATACTGCCGGACGGGAAGAACTAAGACGCTAGAATGGGGGAGGGAGGAATGTAGCAAAATCTCTACCTGCAAAAAGAAAGGGAAAAAAAAGAATGCACTTACCCGTGCGTTATCAATGCCGTAGGTGCGGATAGCTGAAAGTTATCAGGTCTCTTGCCCTCAAAATTAGCAATTCCAACGGATTTTCTCCCCTCGCAGCACAAAATGAGCTTTACACTCCACAGCCAGGAGGTAACTGGGCGACATCAGGGCTGCAACGAACGTATGACGCTAACCTGTACAGCCAATAAGAGTGAACCTTTGGCCTTACGCGTAGCAAAGTGACCCAATCGTTCCCCTGGAAGAATGGAACGTTCGCGCGCTCGGGTGCGTTTACTGTAGAGGCGTGGTTCCCTTGAGTGTCCCGACTTGCCCGCCAGATACCAGCGCCATGGAGGAGTACGCTCGGGAGCCTTGGTACGACTTTGGGCATAGGCATCGGGACTGTTGCCGTGGTCCAGGCCGGCTATGTGAGGCGGGAGGGGGAGGATTCCACCCCAGAATATCGTAATCCCAGGATTTGGGAGATCTAAGACCTCAACTACCTTCCGTTCCTGACCTAGCTCCTCCTACTCGGATTTTGTTAAAACGCGATTTGTTGTACGTGGGAGAAGGTGTGAGGTACGACGAACCTACCTCAGGTTCTTTACGTCTCCTGATTTCGTTATTTCCTGATCCCTCTTAACGCAGACAGCA